TTCAAAACTAAAGTAGAAGAAACATACAAAGAGAAACTTTAATTATAGTAGTGGAAGAAGGTAAGGGAAATAAACATAATTTAGCAGGACTTGAGATCAGTTCGAGAAATACTAGTGTGAATCATGCTGTTTACTACAATTGCTATTACAGCCAAAGAAATAATGTGCATAAGTTAAATACATACACGTTTAAATATCTGGAGGATACGGCCATTTGCGTACACTTCTGGGTGTACTTGACAAGCAGCACAGGTTGCACTGGCTGGAAAGGAATGTTTTATTTTAAGTAAGAAGGCACACCCAGTTTCAACTCTGTGTCACCTTCAGACAGTGTGTGGCTCATCTGAAAAGTTCAAACCACTACTTCATAAATCATATTTATGTTAATTGCAAATGCTTGCTGTGATTACTCATTGTTTGGCAAGCAGTCATGATTTTTGTGTCTATCACAACTGGATTTCTGATATTAAAAAATACTTCTACCTTGAAGAAAAAACTTCTGGCATACAAATTAAATACAACTGCCTTTTTATTTGGGATGCCTACTTTGACAGCTGTCTTCCCTCTGTAGAAGGTAATTTCTCCAGGCCTAGACCCTAAACTTGGAAAACCACAAAGACACTGCCTATACCCCCTTAGACTGGGGGATTTTAAGGCTCTTTCAGATGAGAGTAAGCGCTGGTGCCTTGTACAGAGGCAAGATACTGTCCATCCATAGGTAACCTGGAGTACCTGACTACAGGCTTGCCTAGCTACCCTCTCGGCCCCCATGTAATCTGTAGAGTCAATCTCCCCAAAATCCCACGTGAGTCCTGAGGAGTCAGCCACTGCCTTGGTCTGCTTGAGCTCCTGGTGTTGAACTGGCTGTGCTTGGTCCGACAGAGACAGCATCACCCTGAGATCCCACAGACTTTCTTAATACAACTGTTTGCCAAATAAGTGTGTGTGTGTGGAATAATGTTATTAAAAATAAAACCCAGTGGGATATCTTGCCACCTAAGATCAGGTATTAGTTCTAATAAGAAATGAGCAGCAATCCCATTAGAATCTGTCAGCACACTCCTTTAATTAGAGGATTGCTATCAAACATGCAGGCCCTGCACAGGCCAGCCTTCAGCAGGAGGTGTGTGTTTATTTGTCTAACATCAGTGTCTGTTTCTTTGAAGATGTTACCTGACTAGGTCCATAAATAACATGTCAAGACTCTCTAACTCTTGTGCAGCTCTTGCCTCTTATAATGATATATTAAAAACATATCAGCTTCCTGATTCTGCAGTTCAACAATGCTAATCAACCAAGCAGGAAGAAATAAAGTAACTAGCTAACTGAACTTTAGGTTTTAAAAAGCTTTTATTGGCTCAGGAGCTAAAGATAATAATATTTAAGTGCTTTAAACACTTCTTTATGAAGTGCAGCTATGCTGTGAGAGGAAAAAAGGGCTCTAAACCTGAATCTTTTGTTGCTATTTAATTAATAATTTTGCTGATAGTGTATAAGCCAGGGTAAAATCCAGTTCATTCCCCAAGATGGCTTGGCTCTGCAAAGAAATAAACAGTAATTAAATGAAGCATCTAGCATCCTGTTGATGAGAAATGAAACAGTAGGTGTGGAAACCGCTGTGAAGTTTGGCTGCCAGATATTGTAATGAACCAAACATTAACATTCTTGGGATTGTCCAAATGTGAACCAAGTACAAATGCTGTCTGGGAAAGGGATCTTCTACATGGAGGAAAACAAATAAACGCTTCTTGGACTTGTCTGCCAAATAACTTTTTAGTACATGGAATTTGTGCTTTATACAAAGGGGAATCTTCCCCAGATTATGTTTTCTCCATGTTTTTTGCAGATATTTGTTATTTTTACTGTCCTCTATGCAGACTTCTACCCATCAGTTTTCGGGCAGCTTGATTACAGTAGAGCTTAAGCCTGCAAATGAACGCAAACTAGCAGAGTGTCCCCATCCCCTGTGCAGGAGATGTAAAAAGCAGTGTTTTCCAAAAGGTAAAATAGGATTCCCTTATAGGCCTTGAGAAGTAAATGGGAGGTATGTGCTTGCAGCAGGTGAGCCTGTCCTGAAAACAGACTCCTCTATCCACAAGAAGCCTTTCATCAAAGAGACAAAAGTGCAGCACTTCCAGGCACACTGGAGGTGATATGGATACCTCAGTCTGTCAGTGCCTTGTGCTCTTAGGCCCCAGGGCTGTTTTTTGCATTACAGCTTCCCACAGAGATTAGTGGCTCCTCCTGAAATGCAGGGAAACGTCTCTGCCACTTTTTCTCTTTGCACAGAGTTTAAGATCATTGCAGTTTTGCACTCTTTGTTCAATGGGAGCTTGTTTGATTTCTGGGCTGGAGCTTGATCAAAGGTCCACTGAAATAAACACACCACTTCTACTGAACTTCATGGGCTTGGGAATCAGGCAGTTGATCTTCCTGAAAAATTTCCCAGAAGCAGAGCTGTAAAGAAGTATTTGAATGATGTCATGAAACTTGCTTGGCACACAGGAAGGGCAGGGAGTTCTGGAAAGAAGCTGCAGCTTTACAGAGAAAATTAAGACAAGGGCAAGGCAAAGATACGTTTAGGAAGGATACTGGGACTTAAGTGGTCAAGAAAGAAGATGGAAGAAAGCATCACAGACCTATACAGGGATATAGAGGTGACAGGCCCAAAATGAGAATCAAGTATTCAAACTGAATGCAAAAAGTATGAGGAAATAATTGGCAAGGTTCAAATGAAAAATGGCATGGATAGAATGGAAGGAGAGAAGACTTTGAATACCAGTAGAGAAAGATAATGATACAACACAAAGTGAAGAAAAAGCAAAGCAGGAAAACCAGTGACAGACCAGAAAAAGTAACATGCTAGAAGCAGAAAGCAACTTGTGGATACAAGACCATGTTGTACTTTTAAGTGTGCCTTGCTTATGTCTCTGTGTAAAGGAGCATAAAGTATTTGGTAGTTAAAAGACTACTTTTAATCTGAGATGAATGAATGAATGAGGTCACTACATGTGCATGTCCTCTCCATTAAGAAGTTAATCTTCTACATATTGTGCTTGCTGTCAGTGCTTTCTCAACGAAGGGAGTATATACTGTGCACCCAAGTTTTGACCTTCTGCTATATTTAGTATTTCAATGCAGAAACATTTATGCAATAAGAGTAATTTAATGTGGCATATTTTTTCACGTTATCTGGCAAACAGTGCTTCTGAAGATGTTTGCACAAGCTTCCTGTCATTTTACCTTTTTATTACAAACTTTTCAAACTAGATTTAAAATTAACAGTATGAGGCTATGTGCTTTCTCAGTTGAACTAGTGTAATCTAGATTGATCAGCTCATTTCTCTGTTGTCAAGTCAGTTTGCTTTCACTTGCCAACCCAAATAAGAAGTGAGCTTCAAGTAGATCATTAGAACTTCATGTTCTATTTAAATACTTGCATTCGTTGTGCTGGTATGTCATTGCCTGACTGCTCATAATAGAGCTTGTTGAGAGACTTTTAAATGCTGTTATATCAAACTCATTTTTTTCTAGTCAAAACTAAGAGGGAGAGGTCCAAAACAGTGCATAATTTAGTGGCTGGAGTACTGGAGGGAAGACTTGTATCAGACAGATCTGAGCATCCTTCTTGTGTAATGTACAATCCACTAGGACCCTGATAAGCTTTGTCATGATACCTAACAGGTCCACTCGAAAGGACATGCGTTATTTAAGGCTAAGCCTTAAAACAGAGAGGTCTTCTTTGCTTCAGAATCAGTAGTTAAGGCTGCAGGGATGTGCTGGTTGGCTATAAATGAGTATTAATATTGAAAGATATTTGATACTTTAAAAAAGGGGGGAGAGGCAGGGGCAAAGAATAAAAAAGGTGTTAAGATTGTGTTTCCCTCAAAAAAAGAGACAAACATGCAGTCCTATTCATCTATAACAGTTTTAGCTTATCAGTGCTCACTAGAATACAATGGCTTGGTCCTGCTCAAACACAGGTTGCAGTAGTTTGAGGCTTGTGCTTGTATAAGGTATGCACATACACAGGAGCAACCTTGTGAATTCTGCATTTCATGCTTTACTTCTTAAGGGCTTGATTTGATAAGTATCTGAAGGTATAATCATCATCTTACTCTGTCAAGCTCTATTATTCCATATCCCATCTCATATTATTCCATTTCCCATCTTACTTGATACTGAGCTTTCAATATATAATCTTTGCTTGGCCAACAGGTAGCAAGAAAAACTAATGGGCAGATAAATCATTGCATCTGGCACTATGAACATCAATGGATGAAATAACTTACAAAGCTTATTTGTATTTCACACTTTTGGTGCACTATGCAAAGGTGCTGTTGGGTTAGGGCAGGGTAGACTTAAAGATCTGAGAGCATTTCCTGTGTGTGAAGAGTTGTGCAGATAAGCAGTACTGTGAAAAAAATAAGCTTGAGATGTAAAGAGAGGAACCTAGTGAAGGAGGAGAAGGAATTGTACTGCAGGTGTGAGCACTAGAAGGAACAAGAGCAGAGATCCTTAGAAAGTCTCTTAAAACTGTGAGCAGTAGTGCTGCCAAAGCCTGTTTTTGATAGTTATATTTCAAGTCTGCATATATCTCAGTACAGAACTCTTGATATTTTGCAAAGGTTAAGCAGAAGCTTCGATAGGAATTACTGCCTTGCCAGATATTGTTTTTATAAAACCTGTAGAAACTTAATAACACTCTGTCAAATTTGGTTGTAATAGCTTCAGAAGATTTTAGAGGAGAACAGACTGGCTTGCAGATGTACATAAGCTTTAAACCAATCATTTTTCTGCCTGGATTTTACTGTCAAATACTTTGGTCATGGTGTCTCTTTTGTTTTTCATGACCCAAGTTTGAGAAGGAGACACTGTCAGTAATGTAGTTAATTTGTATTCATGCAGAAACCATGCCATTAAAGTTATTAAAATTCAGTGTTACTCCCTTTTCTGTCTCTTCCAACAGCAACAAAAAAACCTTTCTTCCTTAATTCTAGGGATGTAATCCTCTGGCTGAGACTGGTCGAAGCAAACTGCAAAATCAAAGAGCTGTCCTAAACCAACAGATCTTAAGAGCAGTAAGAATGAGAGCTGGTGCTGAAAATCTTTTAAGGTATGTGTCATGGCTTCCTAGTTGTCTTGCCTGAGCAACAATTTAAAAAAAAAAAAAAACAAACCCAAACTTTTAAAAAGCTTTTTAGCTATTGCTTTTTCCCAGTCTGCCTAACCATTCCCCTAACATGCTGCGTAAATTAATGCTGGATGCTTTTTGAATCTCCCTGAAGTTTTTTTTTTAATGCTGTAGCTCTGTTTGATCAGCTTTATTACTAGTGATAATGGGAAGTGAACCTTGCTGAATTTTATGTTAAAATAAAGGTAAATGCAAAATGCTGCAAACTCAAAATAAGTTTGTTATTGTCTAATGATTTGGACTTTCTAATATAGCAGTACAATATCTTAAGCCTGGATACGAATCAAGGCCTTTTAAACTCATATGTGTGGTTATAGATAACAGTTTAAGACTCTTGAAAAGAGTAACACTGTATGGAAAATCAGCTTAGAAATAGTGATATGGTATCCTGAAATACACAAATAAGAAATCACACAGAAATCCTCTGGGGGGCTAAATGCTAATATCTACTGTCCTAGCAGTTCAAAATGTTGTAATGTAAATATAAAAATGGAAAGGAAACAAGCAAACAAAAAAATCCTATTTGCATCTGACAAAATAGAATTACAGAGAAAATTGTATTAAAACCAAATATCTTTCTACCTGTGTATTTGGCTGTAAAACATTCTGTAGTAATGGTTCTATGGGAAAGTTGTTTTCTTTTATTCTTAAGATGTGAAGTCTCAACAAAATATAAATTATTCAATTTATAAAGTGGGGAAGTCTCTTTTGAAAATAAAATGCCTCCAGAGTCCCCCCACCTCCACCCTCATATTTTCTTCTAGGAAAACAATATAATCTGAAAATAGGATAGTGATTCTGTTAAAGATGCTTTAGTTTTGTTGATTAATGTATCTGAAAATAACCCCTTAATCACACACAAAAAATTAGCATATAGCAAACCCTCTATATTTCTGCATGCTGTTATCTGGAAACTATCCCAGGCTCTCTCTTGACAGAAAAAACTAATAAATTCTGAAACATGAGGTCTTGTATTATCTCTTAAGGAGATAAAAAAAAAAAAAATCATAAAAATGCTGAGAATGCTAGGAGGGGAGTTAGCCAAGCTTATGTACAAAACCTTTTCCTCAGCAATAAAAAAAATATACGTCTCTTTCTGCAGAGCAACCACCAACAACAAAGTACGAGAGCAGGTACTACTGGAACTGAGTTTCGTAAACTCAGACCTGCAGATCTTAAAGGAGGAATTGGAAGGACTTAATATTTCAGTAGAAGTTTATCAAAGCACAGAGTAAGTATAAAGCAAAGTTACTCAATTATTAACAGATCTTTTGTTTACCCTTGGAAACAAAATTGTTTCTAGGTGAATGTGAATGCTAGACAATAATTACGTGAAAGAACAGAGTGCTTGATAGGCAGAGAACATATTTGATGGTAGATTTGTTGACTAAGGGTTAGTCTGCATATTTGTCTTTCACCTGGGAAAGGCATGTACCACTAATCCTTAGATACAGAGTTCGCTTGTTGACGAGAGGATTGTGAGAATTGAAAGCTCTTGGAGCTATATGGGGAGACACATGGCACCCAGCAGAATTTCCAGCGCTAGAATGGCTACTTGGTTCAGTGCATTCTGGAGTGAGCAAACCCAGTGATATATATCTGTTCTCAAATGCAGTGCATACAACAGTCCTCTTTAGCTGGAGAATAGAAGTGCAACACCGATTTCGAGCTCAAAGCAGACTTGAGGTAACCTTTAGGTGTGCACTTCAGTGATAGAAATGCATAAATTAGCTGTCTAAACAAGATAAAATTTGAGTAGATGAAGCTGGAATTTTTCCAAGAATTTCTCCAACCTTAAAGAGCACACTAAACTTCAAATTGCAGTGGACTCTTCAAAGATAAAACTTCAGGGCTAAAGATTATTCAGTGCCTGAACACTGCAATGTTTTCTGTATCAGATGTCTTGTTGCTCCTAAAACTAGATGTTTACTATTTGAGTAACATTAACAGTTCGAGACACAAATTGAAACACTTCATATGAGGGGAGTATAATTTTGGGTCCCTCTTAGCACTATTCTCAGTTAGGCGTTAACTTCCAGGTGGACTACAAGGAATTCTTAATGCAGAGAGACTAAGCACATTTCCAGTGGGGTATCTTTCAACTGAATGCTGCTGACCTGATGCAAAATATCTATGTTTCATTTTTCTCAAAAAGCAGTGGGGTATCTTTCAACTGAATGCTGCTGATGCAAAATATCTATGTTTAATTTTTCTCAAAAATAAACTTGTGCTAAAGTTCCTGCCCTCCACCTCCATGGCAAAATCTGACAACTATTTGATGCAAAAATGTTTTTCGTTTAAGATTTTACCAGTCTTCATAGATGCATGTGAACATAAAGAGCAGTATGAAAGTTATGGCTGTGGAAATGAGAGCATGACTTCAGAGGTACTACTCCTTCTTCTCGTTTAAGAATATTCAAAATATTTGGATTCTCAGTTAAGGCTGAGCAGTAGTTCAGGCTCCAAGGCAGGTAAAAGCCTTGTGGCTGGACAGGAGTATCCTTTTTATTCTCTCCTGATCCTACTTCCCCAGTCTGTTTTGAATGATGTTTTACCTTTCTGATGCTGTTTATTCTAAGCTCTAAAAGCTTTTTATGTTCCATCAGCTAAAATAATTCACCCCCTCTGTAACTGCTCTCCAGCTTTTAATAGCAAATAGCTATTAATAGTTGCTCTCTGAATCTATTGTGCATATAGTCATCAACATGAGGTCACACGTACAGCACTGGGTTACGCTGTATTGTGTTACACCAGTCTGAAGGGCTGGCCTTCCCAGTACTTGCTCACATCTCAGCTGGATTGAGATGCATGATGCTATTTCTACTCAGCTGAGGAAATCCAGGATCACCTCCCTAACTGTTCAGTGCCCCCATGACGTTGACTCCATGGGTGCGGCGTCTTAGAAACTTAAAAAATAGAAATTCATTTCCTTTGAATGACAAATGCTGGTGTCTACAGGGACAGTGGGTGGTACTAGAATTGATTAAATCAGTAAGTTAGGATTTCTTTTGCATGTATCTCACTTCCTTTTAGGGAAAAAGTCTTGATATAATGTGTTGTAAGTGTGTTGTGGTTTCTTCTAAAAGCCTAATCAGAAATCAGATCATTTGCACTCTTTGCAGTGGTGTTTTGGCTCTGTATCCTGGAAGTCCTTTCCAAGCTAGCAGAGCCACTTTCTGGATCATGCCAACCACTTTAAGGACTTTTCAGCAGTAAGAAAGTGATTTTGCTGGCTTTACTGATAAAACCATAAATCAATTGCACCTGTGGGATTTTGTAGTTGGTAATGGAAGGCTCTAAACAATGATTAGACGGTCAATCAGTTGTTTTCAGGAAAAAGGAAAATATCAGATAAACCTTATAATTGCCCGATACTGATCCATTAAACCTACTCAACAAACTATGTATCTGGAAGCAATTCTGACATTTCTTTTTTATAATTGGGTAATATACTTAGTGGAAGAGCAATATATGTAGCTTTTGAGAGAGAAATGGTGCTCTTTAATTCACAATAGTCTTATTAGCTAGTGTCATTTACTAACATCATCTGGGTTTATGTCTGTGATACAGATGTGTATTCTCTTGAGGATCAGATTTGGTTTTTAAGTCACAGTTCTCATCCTTACTGCCTTTTGATATTTTAGAGGTTGACTTGTTTAGAGGTTAACACCTAGTATTGTCTAGAAACCAAGTAGTTCTCAGACCTCCTATCTTAGACTTTTCACTGTTAAAGTTGGTGTAGCTTGGCCCTGCTTTTCCCTGTGTTAGACACACATCACTTCTACATATGCAACCACTGGTAGCATGTAAAATACTGAATAACTATTGATACTTACCATAGCTCTTACCGTGGCAGATCTATCTCCTGGCAGCTGTGGAGCTGTTTTCTGTCTGTCTCACTTGTGCAGATGTATAAAGGTCGAGCTAAGTTGCAGTAAACCAGCCTTTGAGAGTCTCCTTTTCTTTCCTTGAAGGAAAAACAGGCTTATATGAAAAACATCGCAAGCAAGTAGCTTTCTTCGCTCTCTTCCTGAGGAGTCACGGGACATTAAGCAGACTTTCTGGGGCAGGAAGAAACTGTTATAAACTATGTACCTTTTACCTGAACACCTATCAGTGTACAAACTTCCTGTCATCAAGTGAAACAAAAGTAATTGTCCTATCAACAGACAAACAGAAAACAAATATTTCTGAATCTTTTTGTTTTTTTCCATAGAGAGACTTTCAGCATTCCCTTGGTACCTCTTGGCCTGAAGGAAACCAAGGAAGTAGACTTTACACTTCCCCTCAAGGTAAATTTCAGAATTAATAGTTAACAGAAATTACTTCCATTTCAGATTTGTTTAAAGAAGCAGATGTAATTTATGTGTAAAATAGTTTTCACTTTATTTGACCTAAAACTGCGATCACAGTATGTTAAAAATTAACCACCAATTATTTGGGTCATTGCTCATATCTAACTAGGACAAGGAGTCAGAAGATGTTATAAGAAATCTCACTTTGGAGACAGTAGAGTTAAACCAAAGAGAATAAAAATTCCTTCTACAGTTTTGGGTTCCAATAACACTATTGATTGTTACTCTTTAAGTGTGAAAGGAAGTAGTAATGAAGATTTTACTCAGCCTAACACAGTGCTACTCCAACTTGCACAAGCTGGGCTAGCTCAGTTGGGAAGCACTAACACTGCTTGGTTGTTGGCTGATATACTTCGCTGGCTATTTGAGCCACCTTCTGTATTTTTTTGGACTACTGTGTATTGTGCAATGTAGATTTTATCTTATGGTAAACTATCTTACATCACTGCAGCATTTTCTCTGCTTTTACTTCTGTAGGTTAATCTCCATGGTCAGATTATGGTACCACTTTATGCCACTGAAGCTTTGTTAATTTAAGTGGAATTGCTCTAATATAGCTGACAAGAATTTGGCAGTCTCTTTCTGTTAACAAGTTTTTATGGTCACTTGATTCCTTTATTATTTTAGCTAACAGGGTTCATTTGTCCCTTTCAAAACCACTAAGTGTTGTTGTTTTAAAACCCAATGGAGTTGATGTAATAGGTGTTTGGTTCCTTTACATCAGATTGAAATTTCTTGTCTCGGATATCAAATAAAATTATTAGTTCTACTGTCCTTTTGTAGTCTCACTGCTATATGTTACTGTACTATTGACAGAAAGGGAGTAGCCACCATGGAAATCACAACTGAATGAATTTTGTACTGTTTGCAACTGCAGGGGAAAAAAAAGAAAGTTTAGATTAATTTTAGGTTTTTAACTTTTTTTTTTTTTTTAGGACTTTATTCTGGAACATTATAGTGAAGACAGTTCTGAGTATGAAGATGAAATAGCAGATCTCATGGATCTGAGACAAGTAAGTTCAGTATGGCATACCATAAGGTCTTTTAATCTACAGCTGTAAATAGTAACATTTGTATGGAATCAGAATATGCCACTATTACTTAAAACTTACCGTATTCTTATTGACTTCATTTCTGAGATACAGAACATGAATCTCCATTGTCCAAGAGCTTTACAGTCTGAATAAAGAATGAGTAAAGAAAAGGATGAAGTTAAATAAGGTGATTGAGCTATTGACACAATTTTGTAAATCTTAGAAATCTATTTTAAATTTAGCATGAAGAGTGTTGAAGTGAATTGATCTGGCAAAATATTGTAGTAGAATGGTGGTTATTTCTAACTATTGTTTGTTTCCAGGGTTTTACTAGAAACATATACTTTCTTTGTAGTTTTCATAAAATACCTACAATTTTTATTTAATTAACACGCACTTGCAAAACAGATCCTCTTTGTTTCCTTAAAGGTTACATGCTACTTCTGTGCAGCTGGGAAACTCTTATTTGGAACGCATCCATATGGCCTTAAGCTTGTTTTCAGATTCCACACATTTCTATGATATGCAGAAGTCCAAAGGAAGCAGAGCTTTATCCTTGGTGTTTCAGTATTCATCCTCTAAGTCAACAGAATATACTTTATTTTAATCTATTTATTTTAAGGCCTGCCGCACTCCTAGCCGAGATGAAGCTGGCATTGAGATGTTGATGAGCTATTTCCTTCAACTTGGTTATGTAGAAAACAGATTTTTCCCACCCACCAGGCACATGGGAGTTTTATTTACATGGTAAGTGTGTAGCTCATGTTTGTCTTTTGTCCTTTTTTTTTTTTTTTTTCAGAACCCTGTTAATCATTAACTGTCTTCTCTTCATGTTGGTGTGTTTCCCCTCCCACACACTCCCTGCAGTGTTTGTTGTCAGGTTTTTTTTTAGCCTTAAGAGTAAAGCTGAATACAGCACACCCTTTTCATGCTTAGAGTGAAGCCATTGGCTAGATTATGATTTGGGCTACAGGTTAGCACCAGGGAAAAAAAAAGAAAATAATCATCATTTTGGACAACTGCAGATATTTTCTGGACTCTGAACCTCGGTGCAGGAAGTAGATGGGATTATGATTTGGGCTACAGGTTAGCACCAGGGGGGAAAAAAAACCCAACAAAACATCATTTTGGACAATTGCAGATATTTTCTGGACTCTGAACCTTGGTGCAGGAAGTAGATGGAGAATGGGTCAGACCTTAATTCCCCTCCTTCAGTTTGTTAAGATGACTATTTGGGCCAGAAGAGAGGAGGAGTGACTTAATTTATTATAGTGGAGTGTTTACTACATCTGTGAGCAAAGTTTGACTTTAAATTCAGAATTTTTATTATGAAAACAGATTCATATTATGCAGCCAAGAGGAACTGTTAAATTTCTAGTCATAACTGCAAATAGAAACTTTAAAATACAAGCGATGGCGGATCTGACCATGCCAATAGCTGATATTTGGCAACATCTACGTACAAGAACATAGCAGCACATATGGATACTTCCCCAATGTACTCTCAGCCTCTGTGATGTTGTATAGGCACTTCTGAATTATATATAACATGCTCATGGAAGCACTGCTGTCAAACCTGCTGAAAACTAAACCTCAAATAAAGCCATTCGCTGGCTTGCAGCATCTGGGCTGTCCTCACAGTACATAAAGGTATTTCTAGTCACCTTTGTTTTCACTGTAGCAGAACAATTATTAAGAATTCTACTGCTCTTTTGGAAAAACAGAATTAAAATATCTGTTGTTTCAATGGACTCTGCTAATCTTAACGCTTCTTCTAATATTTGTTTCCCAAGGTACGATTCCTTCACAGGTGTCCCAGTGTGTCAGCAAAATCTGTTGATTGAAAAATCTAGTATTTTATTCAACATTGGAGCCCTCTACACCCAGATTGGAACAAGATGCAATCGTCAGACCCAGGCTGGACTTGAAAAAGCAGTTGATGCTTTTCAGAGGGCTGCAGGTACAGATTTTAAAATATTGGGAAGGTCTTTATGCAGATATTCCTAAGCTGGTCCTGACATCCTGCAGATTTCTGCATTTCCCACTGACTTCATTACACAAAAAAAGGAGGAATAGGGAAATTCAAGTAGCCTAATGAAGAGCTGAGATAAAGTTTTAATTCAAAACCTGGAACTTTAATCTGAACGTGCAGATAAAGACAGTGAATGCTGTGGTTAACTATTAACGAACTGCAGTTCAAAGGTCCAAGTAATAGCCCTAATGTCAGCTGCTTCATTGTTCATTCTTTGTTTCACTAACATAGCTGCTTTTACCTCAGTGATATTACATTAGTGTAAAATTTGTACAAGAAAGAATTTAAAGGGTTGATGAAGGGCTTAAAACCTAGTTTTCCATATGGTCTCTTCAGAATTAATCTTACTTTGTTTTCTAGTGAAATTTGCAATTTGTTGGAAGCTGACTACGTTTTCTACGTATAGTTTTCTACAGATTCCAAAGATAAACAGGTTCAAAATAATCAATCTGTCCTCCAAGCAAGGAAAAATATAAATTCTAATAAAGGGAATCCTATCCCTTGAATTAACATATTATAGAAGCTTTTGTTTTGCTTTTTTTCCAAGTAGAGTTTCTAATTTTTTTGTAAACTTTGTAAGTGTCATCTGTGCTACATGTAATGCTGAAAGACATGACCTGTGTAATTAAGATTTACTGTAAGACTGATGTCTGCACTATCAACCTGTGGCCACTGGTTTACACTGTATGGGTAGCTTTCTTAGCTACAAACTGTGGACTACAGAGTTGGATTGTCATAAAACCCCTCTTCTGAATACACAACTATTAAAAGATAAATTGATAGTATTTCTTAATGCATTTATTAAATAGGTTGTTTTTCAACCTTTGTATTTCATCTAGTAGAAATTTCAGTACTTAAGAAATTTCTCCATTTTGCTGCTTCTCCTTCCATTCTGCAAATAAAAATCACTGCTTTTTCAATGTGTTTGCAGAACAGAATTAATTCACAAATTGAAATGCATCACTTGCTACCCCGGTACCTTTGCAGGGCCCCACAGCAGTGTGCTCAGGAGGCATTTCATTGTACCTGTGCACGGCTCCGTAACACTGTTCATTATGTAGGCAGAGACATGATATAGAGCATGTATTAACTGTGCAACATTTTCCATTCAGCACAGAGAAACAGACTTTATCCTCAACAAGCTCTCAATGGGTATATACTTACCACATAAGCAGAAATATGTTGAGAATGGAAAATAAAATATTTTTTCTCCTGTATACTTTCAGTCCCTTTCAGTAGAGCACTCCATCCATATTTGGGATGTACCTGGCAAGTTTGGTGTAGGGTTTTGTGGTTTTTTGGGGGGGGGGTTTTGTGCAAAAAGGCAGAGAAGGCCATAATTCAAATTTTTGTAAGGGTATATTAATAAGTTAAGAGATACAAGTGTAACACAGGAAATGAAAAAACTCAGAAACTGGTAGTAGGAAAATACAGCACAACATGGCCAGAACTGAATGTAGTGGCAAGAAGTAAGATTACAGAAAGCTGGAACACTTAAAAACCAGAGGCCTTACCCTTACACTTTTGTAGTATTATCAGCAATTAGCAGGCTAATAGAACTCACTAAACCAGTTGGATGACGTGCATGCTGAAGGTGAAACTGTTACTTAATATTTGCACTACAGTTAGTGTTTGGTTTTAATTTGATAAATGATAGAAACAATTCATATGTTGGTGGAACCAAATGTCTAGAGCAGAATCTTATTTTACCCTATTAAATATACTGTTCTAGTTTACTTACAGGGATGGAACTGAGCTTTCGTTGGGGCACACAATGCACTTAGCAGCATCTGAAAAGGAAATTAATACTTAATTAAGTTTATATGTTTGTGTTTTTTCCTTCCATCCAAGGGTTCTACTGTCACCTCTGTGTAGTTGCATGGATTTCTTTTTCTTTCTTGTCCTATGTATGAGCCCTAACTTACTACTCCCATATACAAGTCATGTTCAGTTCAGCCACAGCTTTATTGTCAATCACAAGAACTATTATGAGCAAATCTGAAGGCACTGCCCTTAAAACTTGTAACTTCTATTGCTCCTCTGAACTGTGACTTTGAGAACTGTGCCTGAAGATGTTTGATGGCAATTCAAAGCAAAACCTGTAAGTCAGTTTAATGTGTACTAAGAATCCCTTCAGATTGCTGTAGTGCAATACTAGAAAGTATACTTTCAATCTTAATTATTATGGTACATGCTAGAATTAAGTTCACTTGTTTCTGTCTTTGTAATGCTGACAAAACCATTTTGTAATTTCAGGAGTCCTCAGCTACTTAAAGGAGACCTTTACTCACACACCAAGTTATGATATGAGCCCAGCAATGCTGAATGTACTAGTAAAAATGATGCTTGCACAAGCTCAGGAGTGTGTTTTTGAGCAGATTGGTCTTCCTGGAATACGCAATGAGTTTTTCACACTAGTGAACATGACACAGGAAGCTGCCAAGGTAAAATATGAGACTTAAAATTTAGTCTTTAAAATAACTGTTTACAGTGCTGTGTGCTATGGCCTCTAGTAATATTAACAGAATTTATTAAACCTAAATATTAAGAACCATTACTAAAAACCAGAAGTAACAAGGGACAGCTCCCAGGCTACAATGAGAATCACAACCTTTCAGAAGATTAAAACACAAATAGCTGCAATTTAGATACCATTATTTTAGAACTGTTATGACTTTTTTTTTTTAAATTTGTGATTCATGAAGTTTAATAGAAATATGCTGGGACACCTGGGTAGTCAACTTGCCGAAGGTTTTTTTTGTAAGCTATTTATCATATTGCTCTTTCAAACAGTACAGATCTTGTCCACAGAACAACATACAAAAGGACAGGGTTGTTTGTGTAGTTCTCTGTTCAGTATTGAACACAACCTGTCTTATTTCCCAGCAGCTTGAGGTTATGCAAACCTAAAAAGCCTAAATCCAAAAGAATAACTAAATTGTAACTGGGGAAGGACCCTGCTGAGCAGAGCTGTCTTGGGACTTGCCTGAAAAATGGGGAGGCAGGCTGTGCCCCAGAAGGTCATGTTCATGCTTGGTTGGGGTTCTTGACATCAACAATTGGGAGTGCCAACAAGATGTGAATATACTTTCTGAGCCACTTCAGAGTAGCAGATATATAATTGGTTCCACGCTAAAAAAATGAACTCTGAAGCTATATAGATTGACTTAGTCCCTCTGTTCTTGTACAAAATTGATTTACTTTTGTTGTAAGGGAAAAATCAGAGCTGGAATTTCCGATTTCCTCAAAACTTACTTCCATTGCTTTCTAACAGTCTCTTTTTTTTTTTTTTCCCCCCACTCTTTGATGTGATTCACATAAAATTATCTTAAGGCTGAATAAAATATCCCTTACTTGAGCTCCTAATAACTAATGTTAAATTCTCATACTTTAATTCTGTGCTTTATTTTAGGTGGGAGAGGTTTACATGCTGGTTAACACTGCAATGAATCAGGAACCAGTGAAAGAGAATATCCCCTATTCCTGGTCTAAACTGGCACAAATAAAGTCAGACCATTACAAAGCTCTGGCACATTACTTCATTGCCACCATTCTGTGTGACCATGAATGTAAGAATTGTACATTTTCTATATATTTATATAAATAACAATAACAAAAACACAAACAGTTATAATTTGGTCTATGAATAAGACTAGGAGCCAAGAATTTAGGGGGTTTCAGTATGTGTCAATTCTTGTCAATATGTTCCAGTGTGTAAGTATTACTTGCATATTACAGATGATAAAACTAATAAAAGTTCTAGAAACTCAAAATTCCCATCAATGTATGTATGTAAAAATATTTGACTGCATTTGGGAGAGAAGGTGGTAATAACTAAACAACACACCTAAAGGAACAGGGCACCAAGAGATGTGTCTGGTTATTGTCCTATATCAATTATTACAGTGCAGTCCGGCGATGACGAAGATCAGCAGGAGAAAGCCTTGTCCCAGTTGTATGACCACATGCCTGAAGGACTGATGGTTCTCACCGTTTTAAAGGACAAAGTTCAGAGAAAACAACTAGGTAACTGCCAGTTTCCCACTGCTGCTAGATACCATTGAAAATTACTTTGTATTTATTGTCTCGGGATGACAACCAACAGCTTCTCACCTTTTTCAGGGAAAGCGCATTTACGCCAAGCCATTGTTTACCATGAAGAAGCTCTAAGAGTCTGTGGTCTGTGCAAAAAGCTTCGAAACATCGATGTTCTGCAGGAGGTTCTGACAGCTGCACATAAGCGCTCACTTCTCAAATATGCTCAGCAAGAGACAGAAGATGACTTTCTCAGTCTAATCCAGGCTCCAGATATCCTCCGTAAGTGTGTACAGCTATAAATAAAGGGTATCTAACCATACATCTGTATGATTTCATAGAGATATGCCTTTATTTTTTATATATATAT